GAAGCCTAATCCGAACTAGCTACTCCGTGCCGCGTGTAGCCACGCGGCACGGGGTTCGAACTAGCCGGGATTTAAAAATGGCGGCGCCCGGCTTATGCAAATGAAGCCCGGGAAATTCAAATCCCGGGCTTCATTTGCAAGTGCGGTATGCCTACATTACCCTCCTAGTTCGAATTAGGAGGGTAGTGTAGACATACCCCCCGGGAGTTACAAGGGAATCTCACAAAACACAGGGATCAACTCTGCCTTCCCATAACACTGAACTATGGGATGCTTATCCACATTGCTGTGCTCTGTCTGTCAACAGGGTGCTAGCAATGTGGTCATGAAATGTCAATAATGAGAGGAACTAAAACTGGTTTGACTGGTTTTCATTTTTGGCAACTTTTGCATGGCGACAGAACTTTTGTCTCCAAACCTTTCTAGTATAAATATAACCTTAGACTGAGCCTCAAGAGACCTGGATTCTAGTCCTGGTTCTGCCTCTAACATGAAGGGGGACCTTGGGCAAATCACCTTAAATTTTCTGTGCCTCAATCTCCCCATCAGTAAAATGGAACTAATGACCCTACTTTCCTTTATAAAAGCACTTTGAGATATACTCATAGGCTGTGTCTAGACTGCATCCCTTTTCCGTAAAAGGGATGCAAATTAGACACATCGCAATTGCAAATCCCCGCTTCATTTGCAATTACGATGTGTCTAATTTGCATACCTTTTACGGAAAAGAACTGCTATACAAGAACAAGGGAATATTATAGAAAGGACTGACCTGTGCCACTGTTTGCCAGCTGGTAGCATCATCCTCACTGGGATGGATTCCATAATTCCATCTCCTCTGTACCACATAGATCACAGGCTCAATTGAAATATTGAATTTCGAAGACCACTTAACCTCCAACTGTCCAGACTGAAGTTCTGTGAATCTTAATTCTTTTCTGGGTTTTAATGGAACACCTGAAATAGGAGCATACAGAAAAAACAATAAGATGTTTAAAAAACAGGGTGTGTATGTGAGAGCAAAGTGTTGTGGGGTGATTAAGATGGAAATGACTGGTCAGACTGAAATAAAGTTAAAGAGTTTAAAGTGTATGAGGAGTGGAATTTTCCAAAGTATTCAGAGTTGTCTTAACTGTGTCCCTATTGTAGTCAGTGGTAAACTTATATTAAACTTCAGAGTAAAATTAATACTAAGTGTATACCCTATTTCATTATTTCCTTTAGCCACCCCTACACTACAATCTACTGATATTGCCTTTTAAAAGTTTATGACAATCACGCACCACATGCTGATAGAGTATTATGTTCTCCCTGCAGTTTTGTCACCATGACTATAAGACCTCTTTTCAACACTTATAACTGACTGGGGGAAGGAATTACTTTCTAAAGCTGGTCTATTTTGATTACACCAGCAAATCAAGTTGTTAGTTGCATTTCTATGGATACTCTTTTGGAACTCATCTATTTCAGTATCTAGTACTCTTTGATTTCAGATCATGTCACAAATAAAACTGCTGTGTTGACATTTAAACCCCCTTATCAGTTTTGTTCTATATATTTTAATTATGTAATGACTTTAATAAGGCTCTGCACAGATGCTAGGGTTCACTGTGTGGATTGGTGCCATAGGTTTTAACTTAAATATGTTTCTCATCTAAGCATTTATGCACAGATGACTCCAAGAACTGACAAGTAGTTTTAATATTAAGAGCTCAATATTTTTACATTAGAGTTGAATCAAATGAGGGGTGTAAACCAGCCAACCATTAGTCTAATCAAAGTTGGAGTTTTGCCGCTGATATTAAGGGGAGAAGGATTTGATTCAAAGAGCATATATAAATCAGGTCTTTGATGGTTTTTCCCTCTGTATTCATAACTGATATTGCTGAATGGGAGCATCTGTGTCTTCTTAGCAAATCTAAAACTGCCAATGTGTAAACAGAAGTTATCAGAATGTTGATCCACTTGTCTCTATTTACCAAAGATTAAATCAGGAATATCTGAAGATTACTTTTCCCAACTCCTTCACTTCCTTGGATCAACAAACTGTTTTTTGCAGAGCTTTATAAACAGACATTTCCCAATTACATAAACTGCTGCAGTAAATAAAGACACATATTGTAACACTTAAGAAAGCTAAAGACATTATGAGGAAAATTCAGAAGTCATAATCTAATGTAATTAACATCAAGAACTATGTCAATTCAAATTTCTACATTTTCAAATCCTCTTTAATTATGATGTACAATAATCCTGCAATTTGCATATTAAGAAACCTTCCATCTGCTTTGCATTAGGGTCAGTTGGATTCACTTGATTGGAAGTAACTCAGCCTCTCTGGTGTATGTAATTGTGTGCAGATGGATCTTAGCAGAATAAACAATTAGAGCATAGCAAAGTGTATTTTAAAATAAATTTGTGGACCAGAATTATCAGTTCCATATCCCATGTGTGGATGCCGTCATTTCTCAAATGATCATTCCTTTGACCATTCTGGAACAAATTGGTGTTCCAAAATTCAGTGTTCCAGTGAGGAATTCGAACCATGCCTTGTTTTATATGTGGAATATCAGAGTACAAGAAATATGTTAAAAAAGGTGTTTCTCAGCTAATGCATATGTATCTGTCCTGTGAAAAGCAAATATATAAAGATCAAACATAGCAAAGCATATTTATGACTCAAATTTAAGCATAACTTAATATCTTGGTGACGAGGAGGGGGTGTTCTTTAGAATTTATGAATAATTGTGTGAATAGAGTAATTTGTGACCATCTTTTCTGATTTGATGGCTCACAGGAAGTTTATAAAAAACCCATAACATGGGATGGACACAGAAAATAAACTTGATAGCTTTAAAAATGCCTACACTTATGGACATTATTTAAAGCAGGAAAAGAGTAACTTTATATATGGATATGTGTCACAATGTGTATGGAAAATGAAACACAGCCTGTCCCAAACATCTTTGATTAGTCACTTTGCTTTTACAATGCCCTGTCCCAAATAGCTTAGAATATAGTTGAGACAAAATAATTAGATGAAAGTAACAGTCATCAGAGAAGTGGGGAAAGGGGAAACACAAGATTACATACCCTAGCCATAGGAACAAGTTGAAGGTACTATAGAATCATAGGACTGGAAGAAACCTCAAGAGGTCATCAAGTCCAGTCCCCTGCACTCATGGCAGGTCCAAGCACCTTCAAACCATCAGACAAACCATCTCTGACAGATGATTGTCTAACCTGCTCTTAAAACAACCTCCTTAGGCAATTTATTCCAGTGTGTGACTCCCTGACAGTTAGGAACTTTTTCCTAATGTCCAGTCTAAACCTTCCAATCCTTGCTGCAATTTATGCCTATTGATTCTTGTCCTATAATTAAATTAAAGAGAATTATTGTTCTCCTACTTCCCTGTAACAACAATTTAGATACTTCAAAACTGTTATAATGTTCACTCTCATCTCTTTTCCAGATTAAACAAACCCAGTTCTTTCAATCTTTCCTTATAGCTAATGTTTTCTAGACTTTTAATAGTTTTTTTTCTCTTCTCTGGACATTTTCCAATTTGTCAACATTTTTCCTGAAATGTGGTGCCCATAACTGGACATAATACTCCAGTTAAGGCCTATTCAGTACTAAATAGATCAGAAGAATTACTTCACGTATCTTGTCTACAATAGTTTTGCTAATATGTCCCAGAACAATGTTTTCTTTTTATGCAACAGTGTTACATTGTTGACTCATATATAGCTTGTGGTCCACTATGACCTCTAGATCTCCATAGTACTCCTTCCTGTACAATGTATGGGTATGTCTAGACTACATGGCTCTGCCAACAGAGGCATGTAAAATAGGCTCCCCGACATAGTCAGTGAAGCGTGGATTTGGCTGCAGTGCTGTGCCGATCAGCTATTTGGCAGCACAGCGCAGTAGTCTGGACGCACTGCTGTCGACGAGGGAAGCACTTGTCAACTGCTCCAGTAAACCTCATTCACAAGGCATAATGGAGTGGTCGACAAGGGCTTCCCTATTTGTCCCTAAGTGTATACCCTATTTCATTATTTCCTTTAGCCACCCCTACACTACAATATACTGATATTGCCTTTTAAAAGTTTATGGCAGTCACGCACCACATGCTGATAGAGTATTATGTTCTCCCTGCAGTTTTGTCACCATGACCATCACCCTCCAGGATTTAAGAACAATGAGGAATGTTTAGATACATTAACTCACCTCCAACACCTTGAGAGGCTTGTATATTCTGATGCAAACTGGATTCTCCAGAGACCAACACACACTGTTTAGTCAAGGACTTTTGACTAAACAGTATGAGTTTAAACTGAGTCAACACCTTCTTTTTGATCCAGCAAATGGACTGATATTTCTGTCCAAAACAGAAGTGAGAGGGGCAATCCTTAGGGAAGGGTAGGAAAGATTGACACCTACCATACCCAAAGATGAAGTTGGGATGATCCCTTTTAAGCTTTTTACCATGCGTGTAGGTTCCTCTATTGTTGTTATTGTTCTTTCTCATTTTTTCACTTTAAGAACAGGTGTACACTACAAGGACAGGTTGATCTAAATTATGTAATTTGAGTTACATTAGTAGCATAACATAAATCAATGTAACTTAGATTTATTTACTGTGGGGTCCACACTGCAAATGGTCAACAGAAAAAAACTCTACTGTTGACTCTCCTTATTCCTCATGTTCTGCTTGTGTAGTGGAGTTGATAGGAGAGTGATTGGCAGTTGTTTTTAGTGGGTCTTTATTAGACCCACTAAACTGACTGCCAATGGATTGACTGCTGCAGCACCAATCTATCCCATAATGGAAACAAGCCTTAAGAAAGAGCAGTATGCTGGCCATTATACTGCTCAAAAGTATTAGAAGACTAACCAAAGGGCAGATGCTGGCTGATGCATGCAGTCTTGCTTCCTTGGAACAACACAGTGGCTGTGTCTACACTGGGCCACTTATTCCGGAAAATCAGCCGCTTTTCCGGAATAAGCTGCGAGCTGTCTACACTGGCCCTTGAATTTCCGGAAAAGCAACGATGCTCTACTGTACAAAATCAGCCGCTATTCCGGAAAAACTATTCTGCTCCCGCTCGGGCATAAGTCCTTATTCCGGAACACGGTTCCGGAAAAGGGCCAGTGTAGACAGCCCAGTAGTCTTTTCCGGAAAAAAGCCCCGATCGCGAAAATGGCTTTTCCGGAAAAGCAGCCTGCCAATGTAGATGATCCTTTTCCGGAAAAACTGGAAACGGAATAGTATTCCATTTTAAGCATTTCCGGAAATTCATGCCAGTGTAAACACAGCCAGTGTGTACAGGAAACTATGGGGCCTGGAAAAACCCCAGTAAGGAGGGAGAGAGACATGAATCTCTGCTCAAAACAGGTAATAGTGAGGATCCAGATGCCTAAAATTGGGTTCATTTGCTGGACCAAGGAGAGAAAATTACAATGCAGTTGCCCAGAACTGTGACAGCATATTAATTAAACATTTTCTTTAGATATTTCTGTGCATTACCAATCTCCATAGCTTAATCAATGGTGAAATTGTAGCAATTTGCACAGGGCTATTCTACTAGAGATGACTTTCAACGGGTGCCAACAGGAGAGAGCTCTCTTGTTGGCATATTACAACCATCTCCATGAAAGGAGGCAAAACCTCTCCTGCCAACACAGCTCCATACACCCTGGCACTTTGATTATTCTGATATAGCCTATAATGTAGACAAACCCATAGACACTTTTACATTCAATCTGAGTTCATTTTCTGGCTATGAGTGCTGTCAAAAAGATTAGCTTGAGTTTTAGATTTGTTCACTTGATGTTAGTCATGCTTGCAATTTGTTCTTCCCAGTGGGAGGGAGGTCATTTGCCCTTGGAGAAAATGAAAAGCAAACCTGCCCAGCTCCATCATGTTCGTTGTTGTAGGAAGACAATTTTGAAGTGCTAATTAGCTGAATTAATCATCTGAGAAAGCAGAAGAGCACTGGTTCTGCCCTTCTGATGTAATACCTCTTTGTGCTTCCAGACAAATACCTACTAAAGATAACTGATAAGATGTTGGAGCAGATTGTTAGTGCTACTACTTTTTAATTAGACCACACTTCCTCTTTAGCAGTCATCTAAGTATATCACATCCTGGGTATGCTTTGTCCCCTACATAAATCCATTTAATGTCATTCCACCTCCACACATTTCCCAAGTATAAATTACTTTATAATGCATCCATTAAAACTTACTATATAACTTCATGTTTGACGTTTGGTCCTATAAACCTCTACTCCCAAGCAATACAGATGTTGTATTACTTTTACATATTAATACGTGGTATAATAATGTATTACAGGGTTGTGTTTATATAAAGCCTGAATGAGAGGCCACTGAAACCATTGGGAGTCTTTCCATTGACTTCAGTGAGCTATGGAACAAGCTCTTATTGCAGGTCATTCCAAAATCACTTTCCATACAGTGCCTCTGAGGTTTACCGTGCTTCAGTAACTTTGACCAAATTTGCTCCATTTATATAAGCAAATAAAAAGAGTTTTCTAAGCCCTAACCTTGTCTCAGATTAGAAAATCAAGCTAGGTAGAATTAAGTAGCATGGGCTTGATTTGGTCCTGTTCTGTTAATTATGCCCTTGAGAGCGCTAATGGATAGAATTTAACCAACAGAATTTTGATCAGTTTCATGGCTACGGCATTTACACATCTGTAACTTACATTTCAATGTATCACATATAGTACAGTATAAATAAAGTCATTATATGGAATTTTAGTTTGTACTAACTTCATTAGTGTTTTTTATGTAGCCTGTCTAAAACTGGCAAAAATGTAGATGAGTTGTACCCCTGAGTGAGAACCACTGAACTAGACCATTCCTGACAAGTGTTTGTCAAACCTATTATTTAAAATCTTCAGACACACAGATTCTACAACCTCCTTACGTTTTCTAAGAACAAAAGCAGAGGTTTAAACTTCTGAAATGTTTTTGTCACTTCTGTCTCCTTTTACAATTATAACCTCACAATTACCTCTCTCTCTCTCTGGCTGGCTACGTCTAGACTGGCATGATTTTCCAGAAATGCTTTTAATGGAAAAGTTTTCCGTTAAAAGCATTTTCGGAAAAGCACATCTAGATTGGCAGGACGCTTTTCCGCAAAAGCACTTTTTGCGGAAAAGCGTCCGTGGCCAATCTAGACGCGCTTTTCCACAAAAAAGCCCCGATCGCCATTTTCGCGATCGGGGCTTTTTTGCAGTAAACAAATCTCTTCTGTCTACACTGGCCCTTTTGTGCAAAAGTTTTTCGGAAAAAGACTTTTGCCCGAACGGGAGCAGCATAGTATTTCTGCAAAAACACTGACAATCTTACATGGGATCGTCAGTGCTTTTGCGGAAATTCAAGCGGCCAGTGTAGACAGCTGGCAAGTTTTTCCGGAAAAGCAACTGCTTTTCCAGAAAAAGTGGCCAGTCTAGACACAGCCACTATGTCTAGATTGCAGGCTACTTTCAGAGGAAGCTTTTCTGGAAGAGATCTTCCGGAAAAACTTCTTCCGAAACAGTGCATCCACACTGGCTAAGCGGATCAAAAAAGTGATCTGCTTTTTCAAAAGATAGCATCTAGGCTGTCTCACAGATAAGACTACCTGGAATCACTTCAGGCAGGGCAGGTCACCAGTTGTTCCTGAGTGCTGGTGCTGGAGTCTAGCAGGGTATGTCTACACTACCCCCCTAGTTCGAACTAGGGGGGGTAATGTAGTCATACGGAGTTGCAAATGAAGCCCGGGATTTGAATTTCCTGTATGTAACCTGTGGAATGTGTGTGCGGTGCGAATGAGAAATACCGAACCAAAAAGGCAGTTCTGACCTATTATGGCAGACAAAGACCCTGCAAGTAGATAAATAACTGAGAAGCGGCCAGAAAATCTCTCTCTCTCTACGGCTACAGACTGCAGGCTTCTTTCAGAAGAAGCTTTTCTGGAAGAGATCCACACTGCCCAAATGCATCGAAAAAGCAATCTGCTTTTTTGAAAGATAGCATCCACAATGATTGGATGCTATCTCACATATAAGGCCACCCGGAACCAGTTCAGGGAGGACATCACTTGTTGCTTCCAAGTGCTGTTGCCTAAGCCTAGCTGAGAGACGTGCTTAAAGGGACCCCCCCACCAGACAGCCGTTTCTCTCCTTCTGCTAAGTGCTTTCCTACTTCTTCGAGGGACAGCAAAGCTCTCGCAGTGCCCGCTGTGATTGTCCAGCTTTTTTTGATGCCACAGTTTTTTCCTTTGTGCCATGGAGCCAGAGCTGCCCCTGCACATGATATGGCTCTACACAGCCATGCTGCAGTTTCTGCAGCACTTTGTGCCAGCTGCCTTCCTGGTCCTGACCGAGCTCGATCCCGAGCTCATCCTGGGGACCCTCTTCCTGGGTGCAGGAGCAAGACTCTTGCAACCACAACGCACTGTGGAGAGACGTGTCTGGAGGCTGGACATCAGTTCTGACTGGTGGTACCAGCTGGTCATGGAGCAACAGATGTTGGCCATGAGTGGAAACCCTTCACTTAACCACAGACAGTTGCCATCCGTCAGGCCCATCAGGCCAGGGTGCACATCCGGGAGGCCCCGAGGAAGAGATCTCTCAAGTATCCCAATAACTCTCCCCAGAGCCTCCCACCTACGGGTCTCTGGCTTGCTGCACTATCTCTTTCCCACCACAACCCTTCCCTTCGCCCCTTCCCTGACCACTCAATAAAGACACCTGTTTGGTTTTAAACAAAACAAACTCTTATTGGTCTTTCAATAAGAAAAGCTGGGGAGGGAGGGATCATAACTTAGAGGAGGAGAGGGGCTTATAACCTGGAGGAGAAGGGGGGCTCAGAGTGGCATGGGGGCTGGCTGGATGTGCCATCTCAGGTGCGGGGACTTCGTCAGACTTGGGGTTATGTGGTTCCTATGACCACAGTGGGGTGTGCAGGAGGGGGGCCAGAGCAGAGTCAGGGATGGCGTTGGCAGGTATAGGGGCCATGGGCATTGCTTGGGGAGGGGGTATGGGCATTGCTTGGGGAAGGAGCAGAGGCATTGCTTAGAGGGTAGCGGGAGGGGGAATGGGCATAGCAAGGGGGCAAGAGGGTGGTAGGCAGGAGCAGTGACAGCAGGCGGTTGTGCCATCATGTCATACATGATGGCACACATGTTGTCACACCGCTTCATGAGCTGGTCCCATGGACGGTTCCGCCACTCTGCATCCTCCCAGATCTTTTGTGCCAGGGTCTGCTGCACACCACACAGGACACTGACATGCTGGCGCATGAGGTCTTCCTGGAACCTGGCATGCTTTTGGGTCTCCCGGGCTCTGGCAACTGGCTCGGGTAATGTGGCTTGTCCCTCAGTCCCGACTGGTCCGGCTGTGGAGAATACAAACAGGGAGAGGCAGTCAGTCCCCCACCCAGGGCCAGATGTGTCTGTGTGTGGCCTCCCTTGATCCTGGGAGCAAGATTCAAGCCATGCTCAGGGGCTGCCTGCTGAGTCCGTGTGGCACACACTGACGATGCATGTGGTTCCACGTGCACGGACTACAGCATGATGTCCAGCCCGAGCAGGCCGAGAGACGCTCTCACTCCACCCCCTATGTGCCTGCTTCCCCAGCCCTGTGTGTGTGACAAACTAAGAGCACTCACCTGAAGATACCTCCCCGGTACCAGAGGAGGCCTGGGAGACGTCCATGCTCACAGGAACCAGCTCTAACAAGAGCGTGACGGTGGCCACGTTGTCTGCCTCCTCCTCCTCCTGCTGCTGTCCCTGGTCCTCCTCCTCCTCCTCCGCTGTGACCTCCAGCCAGGCAATGACAGGCATGGTGAGGCCAAGTCCATGACGACGGGTGGGGAAGACGTCTCCTCACCCCCCAGGAGTTGGGGAAGCTCCTGGTAACAGAGGCAGGTGTGCAGTCCTGCCCTGAAGCGTGAGCTGCACTCTCTGGCCCTCACCTATCCCTGCAGGAGCTCTTTCACTTTACACCAGACCTGTTCCAAAGTCTGGGGTGGGTGTCCGCACTCTGCCATGGACTTGGCCACGCGCTCAAAGATATAGGCGTTACGCCACTTGGAGCGGAGATCCTGCAGTGTCTCCTCCTCACCCCACAGATCAAGGAGGGACAGGATCTCTGCTCCAGACCAAGAGGGTGTCCACTTCTTGGTCCCCCTAGGTGGGTTCTGGGACCTCTGGGGCTGCTCCAGAGGCAATGCCTGTGGCAGGGAGAGCCACGCGGTCAGGGTGCTGCTCTCAGGCCAGCTTCCTGCCACAAGGCTTGTCCAGGGTGTTTGCAGCTTTAAGAGCTGGCAGGAGACAGGAACTATAGAGTTCCAGGGCACCTGTGTTATTTCCTAGGGGCCTCTTCTTTCGAAAGAAAACCCTCTTCCCTGTCCACACATACCTTTTTCTGAAAGAGCTCTTTCCGAAAAAGGCTTCTTCCTCATAGAAAGAGGATTACCAATGCTAGAAAAACCCCTCTGTTCTTTCAATTTACTTTCAAAAGAACTTGATTGCAGTGTGGACGTAATTGAAGTTTTTTCAGAAAAACATGTCTTGATTTCCAGGCAACATTATTACAAGCTAAAATATTTAGTACACTCAAAGTGCCTCCTAATGATCTCTACCTTTGTACAGATTTTTTGGTACTTGACATGTATGTCCACATCCATTGGAACAGCATTTCTTCACCCCAGAACATTCACTGTCAGCCTCACAGCTTTCAACGCAGGCAGCAGCAAAACCACTGGCTTTCTCAGGTGCTGGGCAGTCTCCTTGCTTCACAGAGAGGATGTATTTGAGGAATTCACAGCTAGTTAGGCATTCATAGTTCTTCTTGGGGAAAAGAGGCTACAGGGAACATAAAAACAATTATTGTACAGAAGTTTTCAGTGGGGGAAAAATAATGCTGAGAGATTTCCAAAACCTTTGTAAAGAAAATTCAAATGTTTAGCTATTGCAAGATTACCCCAGAGGTAATATACATCTAACATCTAAACAAAACTTGCAGAGTACAGAATGGTGACTTTTTCAAGTAAGACTACTGGTTTTTATAGAATTAAGTTGTTTTTATCTTCCAGATTTTCGTTTGTTTTTCTCATATTGACTACAAAGATGCTTAATGACAGATTGAAAACATTCATAAACAAAGGGAAAGGACTCTCTGGGAAGTCCATTTGGGAACTATTGTGCATTCTTCCCTTTGTATTTCATGGCACTTTACCCATACTATACTGTAAAGCTGTGGTGCTAGAATTACGGATGCTGGGGGTGCTACTGCATCACCTTGCCTTGGAGGAGTAATAATATCAAATACATGGTTTCCGTCATCCCTACTAAAATCATTCCATCACCCCTGATGCATAGGGACACCCCAAAATACACAAACAACATGTACTATTAATATTTTCTTTTGGTTACTTGAATCATACTGATATGATGGGACTTACCCATGTCTTTAAGCTAGCATTGTTTTTAAGGAGAGAGATTTTTCAATTAACAGTTATTTCTACTTCTGTGAAAAATTACATTGCATTTCTACAAAAAGCTGAAAATTTTGTAAAAGTGTGTATCTCCTTTGTTCCAATAATTGCTTCTAATTGCATGATGAATTTTCTCAGAGGGGGTATGTCTACACTACAAAGTTAATTCGAACTAACAGATGTTAGTTCGAATTAACTTTAATAGGCGCTACACATGCAAACCGCTAGTTCAAACTTAATTCGAACTAGCGGAGTGCTTAATTCGAACTAGGTAAACCTCATTCTACGAGGACGAACGCCTAGTTCGAATTAACTAGTTCAAATTAAGGGCTGTGTAGCCACTTAATTCGAACTAGTGGGAGGCTTTTCCTGGTGGCCACACTGGGCACCACCAGGGAAACTCTTCTGCCCCCCTCCCGGCCCCGGAGCCCTTAAAGGGGCACGGGCTGGCTACGGTGCCCATGCCAGGTGCAAGCCTGCCAGCACCTAGCCAGCAGACCCTGCACCTGGCACGGCTCGAGCCGGCCACCTGCTGCCACCCAGCCCTCTGCCTCTTCCCGGGACCAGGCTTTTCCCGCAAGAGGCGGGCGCCCTCCTGGTCTAGTGCAAACATTGTGGACCTCATCCATGACCTCTGCACTAGGCACAGGAAAGTGGCCGTCTAGGGCAGGATAGCTGCCAGCCTGGCCCCCCAGGAGCAGGTGTGCATGAAAATCAAGGGGGTCCACTGAGACCCCCAACCCTGAGCCCTGAGCTTACAATGGCCGTACTGGGTCAGACCAAAGGTCCATCTAGCCCAGTAGCCTGTCTGCCAACAGCGGCCAACACTAGGTACCCTGGAGGGGATGGACCGAAGACAGTGACCAAGCCATTTGTCTCGTGCCATCCCTCTCCAGTCTTCCACAAACTTTGGGCAGGGAC